GGCTAATTTACATAAACCTACGAAAACATCCCAGGAATAACAAACACATAGCATTTCCATTCCCGAAAGGGTGAACCAATATAGCCCAGATGTTGTTATGCACCGAAAGAAAGATATCTTGAGGTAAGTTACAAAACTAAAACATTTAGTTTAAGGCTGACTAAATGGATTGCAATTATATATATTGTACAAATAAAATATTACTAAAATTTTAATAATTCCTAAAAAAATTATGATTTTAAAAAACATTTTATAAAATCACTAAAAAACCATACATTTTTAATAGTCATTATTATTTTGAAAAATTACAAAAGAGATTTTTGAAAGTATTCCAGAAATTCTTGTTTTTTAGATCGGAAAAAGGTAACAACATGACCAATCCATTTTTTCGAATGTAGTTCGTAGTTTTTGGACCCAATTAGAGCCCCGACTCCCACGCACGTGTTCCTTTTTTTTCGGCCCTGCACTTGTCGGCTCCCATTCCCATTCCCCTTACTTTTTCGGGGTTTCCACCGGCGGATCCCTCTGACAGTTGCTGTTGTTACGGTTCACCATGACCAACGCCAACAATTACCGCCGCAATTCTATTGTCTCTCGATTTCCTGGGCCCCTGCACATGTGGATATGCACATATATAGTTTTTTATAGCTCATTTCCCACATGTCGCGGAGTTTTCGCCCTCTCTTCGGGAATGACACTTCGGAACCATTTTAATGAGCCCAAATTACTCGCTTTAAAAAAGAAATGAATAGGGTAAGGGTAAAAACACTGGATGCACATGTCCAGTCGATCGGCCGGAAGTTGCCATTAGCCGTTAACCATTATCCATTAACCATTAACCATTCAGCATTCACCAGTTGGCATCGATCCTCACGATCCTCATCGATCTGCGAGGCGAAAACCAATTAAGACTGTCAAACAAATTTTAAGCGCCATCGGAATTATGATTATTAATGAGGGTTCATTGTTTATGTCTCAATTTTTGGGCAAGTTCCGGAGGTATGGGAAAAAATGCCATTAAAATTAGTCAGCCATTAAGTTGTAAATTTTTTTACCTTTGGCAGCTATTTAAATAAAATAAAATAAAATATAAAGAAATTAATAATAACTAAAATGATATTTAATGATAAATTGGCCAAAATATAAAATTTCCAGGTTTACATGCCAATCAATTGGAAACTTAATAACGAAGTCAGAAAGGTATCAAAATAATACTTTTTATCGGCTTTTCATGAGTAATTATGACTTTTTGTGTGGATCTTAACTATTTTTGTATTTGCAACAAAGTACGACTTATTTCTGCATTTAAATGCAAAGGCTTTGATGTTCAGTTGATTATTTCCTTTTTTTTTCGATTTTCCCTTACAAGTGGCCGGGAATCCGTTTTACGAGCTCATCTGGCGGATCGTTTCGCACATTTCGCACAATCTGTAACTCGATTTGTGTATCTGTGAGGTAAACAAACTCAAAAACTCAAACTCAATCCATGGGATGCACAAAAGATGCGACAGATATTTATGAATGAATGCGGCAACTTGTGTGCCTCGCCGATTCGCATCTTAATTCGAACGATGCGATGGGATGGAATGGGCTGGCCATATGGATCATGGATGATGGATAATGGAATGTCGTGTAACCCAAGAAGTTGCCTCACTTCTCTACGCTTCGTTTATCAGTTACATTACCATGCGTATCTCTCGGATACTTCCGCCTTACCCGGCTCATTCTTTTTACCTGGCGCTACTTGGGTTTTCCTCGAGGACTACTCGCCATCTACATTTTCATCCGCATCCTCATTCCCATCCCCAATGCTCTCATCCTTGTCTTCATCATTATTTTCATCGCAGCTCCCAGAGGAAGTTCCAATTTGCTACGTCAATGAACCATGGCCCTGATTTGCTCATCAAGTGCCTGTCCTCTCCTGTTCCCAGTTACCACTTCCCAGTTCCCTGGGCTCTCATCGTCCTTCGTCCTTCTGGCTTGTACATTTTATTTTTTTATTTTCATACTCCACCCCAGGACCTTGTTCGCATTTCTTTATTCCATTCGCTGGTTGGGTGCTTTTTTTGGGCCCGTGATTTCTGACACGGCGCTGACTGTCGGCTGTCAGCAAAAATCATCTTTGAATACGGACTAGCGAGGGGTGTGCTTGAAGGTTCTATTAAGTTTTTAAGAATATTATTTTGGAAATACATTATTTTTTTAAACCTATCCACTTGTATAATATAAAAAAAAATATAAAATGATTTCTTGTCCGTTATGGAGAATATCACTAGCCCCAGGTTAGGGACTTAATATTAAAGCTATTAGAGCTCAGGATATTTGAAAATAGTGCAGGTCCCAAGACCAAGAAGCTTAAGTATGTGTAAAAAGGTAGATGTGTTTTGCTATATAATAACTTGTATGTGTCCGCTTGTCCGTTAAGGAGAATATTACCAATCCAACCGAAGAACTTAAGAGATTAACGAAAGAAACTCAGAGTAATAAATAGTAAAGTAAATCCCAAGGCAAATGTGATAATTTTTATGTCATAATTTCTAAACTCCAAACTGCTCGAACCCACCTCGCAACCTTATATCCTTGTTTCATGTCTTGGGGGCTCCCGTCTTTACTACTATTGCTGCTCGAAAAAGCTGCGCCAAATTGTCTGTTTACATTAAATGCATAAATTATGCAGCATTTCATTTACTTATTTATGTTTGCCCTGCGAACAATCGCTTTGATTCCGCCACTTCAGCCAAAATGCCAAATGCATAAAATATGTCAGTCGGCCATGGGAATAAACATATACATATACTACTATACTATATATACAAACAAACATAACATTGTTCAATTTCATTTTGTATGCATTTCACTGCCGCCGCCGATGATGATGATTTTTCACGGATATATTCATGGTTGTTGCCCGGCTTTTGCCCATTTTGATGCCCTAATGATGATGTCTCTCAGTTTTGGGTCATTTGCCAGAGCGGCGCGGCGGGTCGACAAAACCCTCCCTTTTCCTTTACCGCCACTGTTTCCACTGTTTCTGGGTTTCAATTTAACCACCGGGTCCACAAATCTCGAAGAGCCCACCAACCCCCTGGAACAACGATAGTAAAAGTTGACAGTTATGTGTTGATGACAATGTCGACAACGCCCAGCGCAAAAACGCAAAAAAATAGAAACCCTCCATCCATATTATATATGTATATACCCCACCCGCTGACTTTTCCTCTCATCTCTTGGGTGGTGGCGTGTTTTCGATGCTACTTAGTCGTGTAATGACCAACTTAGTAGGCACTGGAGCCCAAAAATCTAATGGAACATCAAGTAAACCTAAAAGAAAAGACCACTTTCTTGGTAAATATTATGGGAGTTTAAAGTTTTAAAATTTAATTTTCTCTTTGTTAAAATATTTATAAAAATCAAACATAGTCCTGAAATACAAATAATACTAGCCCTTGAATTATTGTTTACATTTCCTAGACATTTAAATTTCTGTTTCCGCAAAAAAATAAAATAATAACTATTTACTTATTTTAAAAAATCAAAACTCGATTTTTCTAATAGAACATCACGTAAACCTACAAACAAAACTCCGCGTTCTTAGTTAATTCTAAAGAATAGTGAAGACTTAAAATTTTTACACAAATATTAGTGATTGATATTGATACTAAACAAGTATATAAACGGAAAAATTATATAAAATAATACATATTTTTGTAGTAAAAACATTTAAAGCATATTTTAAATATTTAAATTTCTAGTTTTTGGATTATTTAATATACTATTGAGACATTTAAACTCCTAGTTTCCAGAAAAAATCCTATTTATTTATATTTTTATGTTAAATAGGCAAAATAACGGTGTTTTTTGTGATCTTCAACTTTTTAGTTTGCCGGCATGATTAGCGATTCTTTTCTGGAGTCGCCAATTTTCCAGCTAACAAATATTGTACTCTTCTATTATAATAATTCTCATGTTTGTGTGTGTTTTTCGGTGACTTCAAAGTGTTTGCCGAGCCAAAATATTTTCATTAGGCGTTAATTATGCTCGAGCCAAAATATTTCCGTGTAAGAGGACATTTGTACCTCAGCATGATTGGCACTTTTGCATTGACCACGGCACTAATGACTGCATTTCGTATGCATCCTCATTTTGCTTCTTTTTATTTTCGAATTTTTTGCCAATCATCAGGAGACCAAAGGGTGGAAGCGGTGGAAAAAGGAAGTTGCCCGCCGAAACGTAATTTATAACCAGGCGATCCCGACAATCCTGACAATGCAACTGCAAAGTTTAAACATTTTTGCCGTATTTTTGGGGGAACAGAAGTTGGCACTGAAATTAAAACGAAAAATTGCAATCCACCCTGTCATTAGATGGCATCAATTGTTCGCACAAGGGACGACTCTCTCTATACGTCTATATATGTCGAAGGACCAAAAGGACGCCTTTGTCCTCGAATCGAAACGGGGCTCGTTGACAGGGGGGATATAAATGTTGTGATTTCTTAATTTTTGTTTGCATTTTTCTCGAATTTAGTAGGCTGTTGAGGTAATTACACTAATTATATGGCACTGGCACGCATTTAGGGGTAGTTCCCCATATCCACACCCCGAACCCCGAGGAAGAGGAAGAAGAAGAGGTCATCGAGAGAGCACTAGACCCCGTAAATGGAAATCACAATTCGAGAGTTCGAGTTCGGGATCACTTGAGTGTGATATTCCAATTTCAGGCGGGTGTCACATCTTCGACACCAAGTATATAAGTATATGGTACTTGACTAATTTAGGGGTTGTTTTTTGAGGGAATTTGCTTTTGGAGAATATTTAAGTTCAATAATAAAATATAATATAATATTTTATGTTTAAAATAAGATATTATTATATTTTTAAATATTGCATTATTAGGAGTATATTTTTGAACATTACAAGCAATCAGTTTACCTTTTCAATTTTATTTTCAGTTTTTTTAGAAACAGCAACCTCTGACTTCAATGTCAACCTAACTTGCTTGGGATTCCTCTGTGATTTCTCATTGTGTTTTTAGCAGCCAGTCTAGTAAGATAAAAAAAAAACTCACAAAATTTCATCCAGCTACATAGTTTTCCCAAATTTTGTATTTAAATTTTTATTGAGAGTAAACGATGCAGCCGCCAAGAGATATGTGTAAATGTTTGTATAATATAACGCGTTGCGTGGGTCAAGGTGAGTTAACCAGCGATTCCCAGAACGGTTCGGTTGTTCATAAAAGAGATATCACGGTTTTTATTAAATGATATGAAATCAAAATGAAAAAAAAAAATGTTCTTTCTGATAAATTTCTTGTAATTCTTGACAGACGTAAAATGATTCGTTTCCTATGGTTTTATTCATGTTATATAGTTCTTCTGTGGTAAAATAAGTCTTTTATGTAACGTTACCCTTAAAGACGATATAAAAGGGAAATAAATATTTTTTAAGGATTAATTTCGTTTTTGACAGACGTAAAAGTAATGGTTTCCTACGTTGTTTTTTGCTTTTTAGCTTGTTCCTATAGCACCAAACGTAATTTTCTGGCCATGCAGGCCATGACCGCCCGTAAGATCCGGGAGTCGAATATCCCCGAGAAGGAGGCGGAGTCCCGCTTTGATGGCAACTGGGGGCGTGGCCCTCAAGCGGGCGACCGTCTGCCAACGGCCGTGAGTCTGGTCAGTTGCAAGCTCCGGGAGGCGGAGAGGAATGAAGTGAATACCGCCTTCCTGCGCTATGGAAAATCAATGACCGATTTGGCGAAGAGTGCCCGCAAATTGTATAAGGCTGCGCGACCCAGGAACATAGCTCCACAGCAGCCGATGCCCGGGAAAATCGGTAAGATTCCATAGTCTTATGGCTAAAAATAATTATTAATATTTTTATAATCCTAGAAATTTCTACTAATGTTACGTAATTTATTTTATTAAAATCCCTATAGATACACTTCGCTTGGGACCCTTGAAGAAACCGGAACAAAATGCCTCCGCCATAACCGATCGTCTTATCAAGCTGTTCTTGCAAGACCCCTGGGATTTCCCCAAAAATAATGGGCACTCAAACGAATAAGGCTTTTCATGGCTTTTCATATCGTCTCGAGGCTTTCAAATCGTCACTTTTGGATCTCATCTAAGCGGTAGCTTTAGTGCATTTATAAGAACGTGAATAATGTTTGTAACTTTGTAACGTTTTTTAAAATAAATGTCTATAGTTACCAGCAAATATTTCGATTTATTTCATATTATATATAAATGTAATATTGTTAATATAAATAAATAAAACAAGACGTTGTTTGGATTTTTTATTCCAAATATATTTTTTTATAAATATCAATTATTAAAATACAATTTTTTTATCTTTCCGAAAGGCTATACTTATGAGAATCCTGTAATATGCTGCACATGGTCCAATAATACAAGTTGTCGAATCGAAAAATCCGCTTCCGATCAGGAGATATGTACAAAATATGTAGCCAGCTTATATCAACTCCTGAATATTATTATACGGCATTAAGCGGATTTGTTTGAAACGCTTCCTGGGGAGGAGGAAAAATTAGTAATAAATTATACACAATCCACGTAACTTCGTAGACTTGCTCCATAATTTTTGCTCCTCCTTTTCGCGTCGTGTCTAGTGACTAAATCGTATTTTGCCCAGAGCCGAGAGGTCGCACAATTTCAGGCAGGCCGATTCCTTGGAGTATTCCTCCCGAGTTCGCATCTTGTCCATTTCCTCGGCACGGAATCTGTGCAGTTCGGCCACGGACTTGGCCAGTTCCTGAAGATTAGACGTCTTGAACTGCTCCGATTTGCTGCCGGATGCCGAATTTTCTGGACGGTACGGGATTTCAGACTGATTTTCAGTCTGAAAATGTATGCATTTAATTTATAATTAAAGTTTAAAGTACAAAAAGTATAAATTAAATCATTTCCTAGCTGTTTTTAATTTAAAAAAAATAGTTTTTGGTTTTCTTCCCTTTTCTACCTTTTTTTCTTTAGAATATTTTGTAATATTTTTGTCACTCACCTGGTAGCTATTCGTGGTCATCTTGGGGGGCGTTCGCATGTACCGGTGGTGCTGAATTTTTCCCGTGGCCGCCAGAACAGTGGCTGAAGTCCAGGATCCCGGCTTGGAGCTCTCGCTGCTTCGGACCGGTGAGTACTCCTTGGGATTGGTGGCTTGTTTGGCCGGTTCGCGCTCGACCAGAACCACCTCGTAAATGTAATAGTTATTCAAATAGTCAATTTAATAGTTTATTTAATTGTTGATTTAATAGTTTATTTAATATAGTACTTACTTAATAGTTAACTGAATATTTAATATTAATATTTCAATTAAATTTTTCATTAAATAATCTGTGTACTATTTCATGTAATATTTAATTAAAAATTTCATTGAACATTGACTTGAATATTTAATTAGCTATTTAATATACAATAGTTCAATAAATATTTGATTAGTATTTAATAGTTAATTTGAGGTTTAATTTTAAATTTTATATTTTACTTAATGTAAACAAACCTGCTCTTTGGCTCCAATTCTGGCCTTCTGCCACATTTCCTGCACTCGATTGCTGTCCACTTTGAAGGTGGAATACGGCTTCTCGTCCTTGTCATCGACGACTCTTTCGTTTTCAGCTGGAAATCTTTGGAGCGTGGGCCAGTTGAAGAGATTGCTTTTGGGATTTAGAGGGGGGCGCTTTACGAACTTTGGCTTCTTGCGGGAATTTCCCGAAAAGTTGCGCCATAGAAAGCTACACGACTCTGCGAAAGGTCGGATTCCTGGAAAAAGGTATTTATTAGTTCGGATACTGATGGTATCCTCTATGGTAAAGTAACTATCACCTTTTAATCGGCGGAACATATTTTTGCAGAATATAAAAAAAAACCGATTGAGAAATTTAGGTGTAAGAAAAGTCCGAATATTGCTAGACTGGAAAAAAACTGAACTTTCTGGTTGTACAAAAATGGAGATTACAAAGTCAATGGCAACTTTGATTCTACATTAAGGAAAAATGAATAAAGGAATGCTACTTTGTTATATATTAATAAATAATACTTGTATTTATATGGTTAATCATTAAAAATTTTCAAACATTTTGTAAGATTTCTTTAAAAACCTCCAGTAATACTTAGTTTTATAATCTCCCCTCTCTCTTTACCATCCCAACACCTCATTAGCAGTCGCCCATTTTACGATATGCGATTTTCGTTACATCATCTAGAAGACCTCTATAAGGTCATAAATCCCAGGATCATAAAACCGAAGAAAAAAATATTCGCGTTTTTTTCGCCACACTTTTTTCGCTGTAAATTGGCGAAAGAAAAAACTGAGCTACAGAACTAAAAAACTGAACTCAGGACTCACCGTAACCAAGGCAAGTTTCGTTTTCGTTATGTTTTTTATTATTTGATTTACAGTCTCGGTTCGCCGATTGCGTTTTGCGTAATGTTGAGCGTCTAGAGGTCCAGAGAGTTTTCTCAATTTTTCACCGGAATTTTCCTTCCTTTTTATGCCTTTTTATGACGCGTGGATATATCCTTTTTGTGCGTCGCTCGCTTTTTTGTATGCGCATTCATTTTTTCATTTTCCTCCAGTTGCGTGTTTCCAGTTCCAGTTTTTTAGGCTGACACACGCGAGGATCCTCGTTCGCAGAAGGCAGGAATCCAGGATCCTGGCCTGGATTTTTATGGCTTACGCAATCCGAGATGACGAGATGCCGAAATGTCGAGATCCCAAAACATCCTTAGCCGTAAATCCAGGCAAACAAAACACAACAGCTGCACGGCAAAAAGTGTGCGCAAAAAGTGAAGTAAAGCAAATTTGCGAACAAAAATAATATCAAATATCAATTGTATAAAGTAAATGTTTGTTGATTCAATAACGAGAGCCTCAAGTATGAAACTAATGCCTGCATTTTATGTACAAAGAGTATTTTCTTTGATTGCTTAACACACATAGCTGTTCAATTAAAATGTAGTTATTAATTTGGAGATTATAAATGTTAGGATAAATATTAATTATTAACTATTATGACCAACCTGTTCTATTTAATAATGTAACAGTTTTAAAGATTATTTTAAGACGTAGTACTATTAAAGTCGAACTAATAACCCTAAAAATAATCAATTATATTAAAATAATTATTAAAGTCGAACTAAAAATGTAAAATATTTTAAAATATTAAAAATCTTAAAAATACCCAACCATTTATGTTAGTAACCCAAGTTAAAATTCTTATAAAAATCGATATATAAATATATATAGTACTTATACGCCGGGCTCCCCGTTGATCTGGCAAAACAATGCGGGGTCCTCGAGTTCCTTTCTGTTTTCCTTGGCTTCCGGGGTGGCTTCCTTGGATTCCGATTCCCATTCTCATTCCGAATCACAGCTCTGCTCTCTCTGCTCATCCATTGACTTTTTGTGTCAAATTGAGTTATTAACATTGCACATGGGCTGATTTCGATAATGCTTCGGTGAATTGATATCCTGTTGCGTTGTTTGCACAAAAATATTTACTTAACTCATAATTGAAGTGTCTGCAATTTTTGCGCCATTTGTGCATGTCTCCTGGTGATTCGGACTCTGATTTTCGGGCACCCCACGTGGCAGTTGGCTGCCTGATGCCTGATTATGTTGTCGAGTGTCCTGAAATCCTGGGGAAATCTTGTTTAGTCACCAAGCAGCAAATTCCTGCTGCCCTAATTGTTGTCATTAGGTGAGGTGTGTTTTGTGTTTTCCGTATTCTGAATTCTGTAGTCTGTTTTCCGAATGTGTGTGGCCAAATGGAATATCTGGCATTCGGACAAACACTCAAAGGACCTTAGGTGGCAGGGCCACCTGCATTGGCTTTGTTTTCGATCCTCGATGCTCGGCCATTAGTTAATGGCCAAGAGCGGGCACAAAAGAGTTTGGCCAATTTTGGGTGGCATCTGCCGATGAAGATGTCTCTCTCCTTTTTTTTATGAATGGCAACCGCTGTCCTGTAGAGTGCTCCTTTAAAAGTCAAGAAACACTCGAAAGTGTACTTAAAAGGTCAAGTCAAAGTCAGGGGATATCCTGGAGAGGCATTTAATAAAACCAGAAAAATAAAAAAAAACAATTAAGTTTTTCCATAGAGCATTTGATTTATTGGACATTAAAAGAAATAAATAAAGTGATTTTTTCCCATAAAAAAATACAAAAGTTATAAGGCTTAAAATAAGCCCTGAAAAATAACTAAAAATACAATAATTCAGCTTTGATTTTAACTTATTATATACATTTTTGTAAAATTGTTAATATCAAGAAAATCTATTTAAAAAATCCAAAATAATGTTGCATGTATTTTACAAATATATCCATTAAATTTGTTTTAGTTACACCCATTTGATATGCTTAATTTTCCCGTTCTGAATGGATTCAAGGGAACATATATCCAGCATATCCCCGACTGATTCCCATACGGCTGTCGCTCCGGTTATCTTGAGCGATTTTTCCACGACTTAGACTTGGCATATCTGAAAATCAAACAGATAAATTGCCGGCATTTTCCGCTCACGTGTGTGCCTGCCTCACATATACTACTATACTATAACCCCTTTTTGCAACCCCTTTCTCTTTTTTTGTCTGGTGCTCCGATTTTCTGTGCTTTTTGTCAGCCATGAAAATAAATTGGCATTATTAGGCGGAGCGGCTCAGCGAAAATTGATTATTGACAAGAGTCGCATTAAGCGCCGTTTTATGAGCCAAAAAATGCACAAGCCTGGCATTAAGGTTCGTAATGCGGTTCAAGCTGTCCTTGAAAAGTCCCACGACACCCCCGAAGCAGAAAAAAAAAAACAGAAAAACGGGTTAAAGGGTGGCGAAACTTTGTCTGGGTTTTTTATACCCTAGCCGGCAATTTATTGGGATTTTCTGTGGGAGTCGCAAAGGGTTAGGAAAATTGTACCTTGTATTTCTTTCTCAGTTGTGAAAGTAAAAACTATTTTTAATTTTGTTCTATAATTTAATTTTATTTTAGATGTTTTAAATATATAAAAAAAAATCTACAAACAATCCCCTTATCGCAAGGGTATTTCCCTATTCGACTCTTTCAATTAATTTGCTTAACCCTTTCATTTTACTTATCGCCCGCTGCATTAATTATGAGAATCTGTCGCCTGTGAGCGGAGTAAGAAAATGGGGGGTGTGAAAAGTTCTTAAAGTTGCCGCTTGCATAATTGAACAGGTCGTACACTTAAGGAGCTCCCGCATAATTAATTTCAATTACGCTTTTTTTGGGAAACTGCGAGAAAAGGAAGCTCCGTCGTTTCTCGATTTCCCTTAATTTTCAACGATTTCCAAATCATTTTCCTTAGCGATTTCCATTCTACCTGCGTTTCTAATTTCGTTTTAATCCTTTCGCCCAAGCTGTACGCCACTAATCCGGCCGAATTTTACGGGTGCCGCGCGGCCGAGGGACAATGGCATCATCTATAAAGATGACAATTGCAAACAACAATGACGACAATCGCGGCAAGGACAAACAGTAGTGCCAAACTCCTTTCCCTGTTCCCAGTTTCCCTTTTTCCAGCTCGGTTCTCACTCCTTTTGCCACTATTCATAATTAGTTGCAGGCAATTAAGGCAGCCCCCGCGGTCGCGAGCAAGGACACTCGCGTCCTCGCCCACCCACCTACAGAAACATAGGAAAATCGAAATCAGATATCTGAAATCCTAAAGGGATATATCGCAAAATCCTGGGCGTTGCCCCTGGCACTTTTGCAATTTTTGTTTACGCGTATTTTGAAAACACAGCCGCACCCCTTTCGCCCAGTGATCCTGGGATTCGGGATTCAGAACTCAGGATCGAGGATCCCATATTCCTAATCCTTTGACTTTGACTAGTCCGGCTTTCCGGAAAGTGTGGCTTACTTTGGTTCCGCTCTCCTATATATGCATTTCCAAAACCGGGCAATTAACGCGGGTCCTTCGCCCGAAGTCCCAAATCCCATATCCTAGATCCTATATCCTAAATTCTGTGGGTGGGTGGGCACCGTGCAAAAGGGTTTAGTTTTAATTAGCCTTTGACTTTGGACGCCCCTCGACGCAATGGTCAGCGAGAATTTGGGCTAAACGAGAGTTACGCGGGGCGGGGCGATTAGGGAAGTTTCAAAACATTCAAATCGGTCGAGATACTGAAGATTTCTGGTCTATATATAGAGGAAAATAAAAACTTTGTAATATGAAGTGAAATATTCAATTTCAAAAATATAGATATTATTTGTTGTTAATAGTAATGCCTACTTAATAACTAACCTTTTGTTCATTCCTAATTTTCTATACAAATATTCTCTCTTATTTTTTGAAGAATTTAGCTGGAACTATGTTTATATTATTTTATTTAGTTTAATTAATTTAACTATTTTTTTCAATCAAAACAGGCACAAAAAATTCCCCCCAAGCTGCCAGCGTTGTCATTTAATTTGGTGATTAAGTTTTATTAAATGTTGCAACTGGCAAAAATCGGCAAATGCCGCGTAATCCCCCGCTTCGCCCTAAAACAAAACCCCGGAAAATATACAACAGCAACCAAAAAAAAAAAATAGGAAAAGGAAGAAACCGAAACGAAACGAAACCGAGTGTCAAATTAATTAAAATGTCAGCGAAATATGTTCAATTGTCGGCTGGTCAGATGGATGGGATCGAAATCGAAATCGGATTCGGGATTCGGAACTCAGAACTCCGAGCTCAGGATTGGGATTGGGAATCAGAACCATCGGGCTTAACTTCGGGCTGTCAAACAGTTTTTGGCCGGAGGCCGGAAGGAAGGAAAAGTCGGGAAAATTGTGAAAGGAGCGCCCTAAGCAGCGGCGGCAACGGCAGAGGGTTTTCCCAAAAATCGGGGGATCCTCTGTTGTCATATTTTCAATTTTGCAATCTGCCTGTCACTCATTGTCCGACTTTGTCCGATTTTCCGGGTGTGTGCTGG